CGAGGAGAATTGGTGTTGCCTTTTATGCTCGTGCAGACCAGGAGCTTTGGTGTTGCCTTTTATGCTCGTGCAGACCAGGAGCTTTGTGCCATGCAGTTTAGACTCATGCGGGCGAGGAGAATTTGTGAATTTTGTCAAGCAATCCGGGAGAGGCGTTCCTCACAATTTTCATAGCAAGGAGTTTTGACCGCGTGATTGAAGAAGTCTTCGGGCAAGAAGTCGCGCATCATGATGGGGACGGACGATCTTCGTGTCGAAGTTTCATCATCTTCAACACGTTCACGTTGTTTTGAAGGTTGACAAGAGCTGCTTTGCCCCCTTTCCGATTGGCGGACTTGTGGAGGAGACGTATGCTTCTTGTGCAATTTCTTAAGAGTGACTTGAGTCCATCCTTCAACTTTGTTTGTCTTGGAGGATGCCCCCGGAGGTTGAGGTAAAAACTTTGAGTTGGAAGAGCCAAAAGTGATGGTGGTATAGTTTGACTTCACCACATCGTCAAGATCTAGCTCGATGATTCCTTTTTGAGCCAGCTTCATGATGAGATCTTTCAGCACGAAGCATTTTTCTGTAGGATTACTGATGAAGCGGTGGAATTTACAGTATCTTGGACTGTTGGTACGATTCATCTCTTCCGGCCGTCGGCAGTCAGGCAAACCGATCACCTTTTTGTCCAACAGGTCATCCAACATGGCAACCACATCAGAGTTGGGGAATGGATAAGTCTTTTCCTCAAGCTCCTTCAAAGTGCGTCTACACGTCTTTTGATCACGAAAAGCTTCTGTTTGAATCGCCTTGCCTCGTATAGGGATTTTGACGAGAGCTGTGTTGACCATCATTGCTTCCTTGGTGGATTTCCACGCAGTCTTCTCTAACTTTGGCCCAAGAACTTTGTCGTTCTTGTAGTCGGCGATCGGTTCTTTCTTCCCCTGATGGGCGATGCTTAACTCCATGTCATGGGCGCGAGTGGCCAATTCCTCGAAGGTCCTTGGTTTAATGCCTTGAAGGATGTATTGCAAACCCCATTGCATGCCTTGGATGCACATCTCGATTGAAGAGGTTTCCGAGAGCATGTCTTTACAGTCGAGGCTTAGAGTGCGCCATCTGTTGATGTAGTCAATGACTGGCTCGTCCTTCCACTGCTTTGTGCTCGTTAGCTCTAGCATGCTCACAGTGCGGCGGGTGCTATAGAAGCGGTTGAGGAATTCCCGCTCTAATTGCTCCCAGCTGTTGATGGACTCGGGCTCTAGGTCCGTGTACCACTCAAAGGCATTTCCTTTCAGCGAGCGCACAAACTGCTTGGCGAGGTAGTCTCCCTCCGTCCCCGCGTTGTTGCAAGTTTCGACGAAATGTGCAACGTGCTGCTTTGGGTTTCCTTTTCCATCAAACTGCATGAACTTTGGTGGTTGATAACCCCTTGGCATCCTTAGGGCCTCAATCTTCTTGGAATAGGGCTTCGAGTAGAACAAGGAGGTATGTGAGCTCCCTTCGTACTGTGCCTTGATGGTGTTGGTGATCATCTCTTGCAGCTGCTGGATAGAAAAGAGATCCCATGAGTGCCGCTACTTGGTCTGGCTCCGGCTTCCCATCGATTTTCTTCACCGGGGGTTCTTCGTCTCCACCATCTCCTCTCTTTAGTGGATCATCCTCTGGGTCGGGTTTATCGCCGTCCTGCACCTCCAGTCGGTTGACTAGTGCTGCAATCTGCAAGTCTTTTTCTTCCACAGTTCGGGTTAGCCTTGCGATTGCTTCATTCATTTGAGCTAGCTGCTCATCGATTGAAGTTGCTCCAATGGTCATGACTTGCATGGCTAAACTGTCGCTTGAATCGGCATCGGAGAGCATGGATTCAGAGTATTTCCTTGGGCTTTCCCCCCTTGGTGCCCTTAGTGAGGCTAAGGTGATCAAAGGCTCGTGCCTTGGGTGTTTTTGTTCCCTTGGCAGAGTTGATGCAGAGGTGAAAGAGGCGGCAGAAGTAGCTCTTGCCATGCTTCGAGTCGTGATGCCCAAAGTGACACCAGTTGCGGGAGCAGTTTGAGCCTTCCTTGATGCCATTAATTTTGGAAGTGCGCTTGAATTTCTTGAACGGAGAAAGAGATGAGAGGCAGAGATTGTCCCACCGGGCGTGCCAATTTGTGAACACGGAAATTCCTGAAACGAAAGAGACAAGAACAACGTGCACAAAATAAATATTTGTATTTTGATGATTTTGGGTTACAATCTCTCTCAAATTTGATCCTCTGATTCGATCTCCGTAAGGTGTTGATTTATGGATGTTTCGTTGATCCAAGGGCCGTCGGGGCTTGATCTTGGATGAACTGTTTGGAAGTTTCTTCAAAAGGCCGTGGGCTTGATCTTTGAAGGTGGATTTGAGCGGATCTTCAAGGAGCCGTTGGGGCTTGATTTTGAGGATGAATGTTTCTTCAAGGGCCGTTTGAGGCTTGATCTTGAATAACGGTGATGAGCGGATCTTCAAGGGCTTTTGGGCTTGATCTTGAAGAAACAGTGATGAACAGATCTTCAAGGGCTTTTGGGCTTAATCTTGAAGAACGGTTGGATGTGTGTGGATTTGTCGACGTTGTTGATCCAAAGGGCCGTTGGGGCTTGATCTTGGATGAACGGATGATGAACGATGGTGCTTTCTTCAAGGGCCGTCGGGGCTTGATCTTGAATTGGTGGATGATTGTTGATCCAAAGGGCCGTTGGGGCTTGATCTTGGATGAACGATGAACGAAGAACGAAGAGAGCTTTCTTGATTCTTCGGGAACCTGGATGCTTGAGAGCTTCGGAGTTTCAGAGCTTCAAAGCTTCAAGGTGTAATATGAATTGGTTCCTTTAATGAATGAAATAGGCTTGTATTTATAGAAATTTCCAAGGCCTAATTTTGAATATAATATTCCAGATGAAATAAGTCGTTTTTGCCAGGTGTTGACACGTGTCCTATTTGATGACTTTTCCAACTCATTTCAATTTTCGTTAAATCACACGCTACGTGTAAAATTTATGTAATACATGAGCATTGACACTTTGATTTACCGGTCAACATTTATTTACGAAATTTCGATGTCTACAATAATCCCCCTCTTTTTTATAGGAATCGTTTAGAAAACGAGTTGTTCCGAATACATATAGACAAAAAAGTTGACAATAGATGTTATTGGTGGATTTTTTTTTTCATTCATGTCTAAGTATAGGAATTTATACATCTTCCATAAAGGATCCGAATGAAACCAAAGTTTTATGTTCAATTTTGAATTAGAAAAGTTAAAAATGATGAAATCAACATCGACTATAACCCCCAACCCAGACTTCTACGGGAGGCAGCGATGGGGAATTTTTCGCAATGGGCGAAAGCCTGATGGAGCAATGCTGCGTGGAGGTAGAAAGCCTACGGGTCGTGAACTTCTTTTCCCGAAGAAGAAGTAATGACGATATCTGGGGAATGAGCATCGGCTAACTCTGTGTTAGCAACCGGGCTACAATACTTACATGTATTTAATACAATTATTATTTCAACAGTTATATGGTAATTGTAGTAAGAAAATTATTATTAAATACATATTTTTATTAATTATATCTAATTGTTATATAATAATTGTATTAAGTACATATAACCATCGTAGACAATAGTTATAAAAAAAAACCAATGATTTGTTTTTTTAAGTGGTTATTTCCATTCAAAACATATTACAAAGTAGAAGACTAGAAGGTGTATTAAAACAAAACATTCAAAGTAGCATGTTTAATTACTTTCAACATCTAAATAGTAAGTTGTATTAAAACAAAACATTCAAAGTACCATGAGAACCTATTTGTTGAAAGCGAGATCATAACAACAACGAGATTTAATGCTTTTAGATTACAATACAAAATGAAAAGAAAAAAACACTTAGGGTGCGTTTGTTGCACTGGACTATCTCGGACTGGATTAGCTTCAGGGACTAAGCTGGACTGACTTAGTGAAGCGTTTGGTGCAGTGTCGGACTAAAATACATAATAATTTACAAATCTTCATGCTATATTATTTACTCTATATATTAATATTATATTATTTAATTTATATTATCAGTATACTCCTTTTTTTTTTTCATAACAATTCCCCATTTTGCTATTCTCTCCCTCCCCATCTTTTTCTCCGTCCAAGGCAACCCAGTCCCCAGATCATCCCAATTGCCATCCAAACCCAGAAATATAATCTTGGCCTTACTCTGCCACAACCCGTAGAAGCAGTCCAGGAGAAACATGGTGGTGACTGATTCTTCTCCAGGAGCAGTTTGGTGGAGTTATGAGTGAATGACCAAAATACCTACAACGAATCAAAAGAGGAGAGATCGAATACAAAAGCTGTATGGCGAAGCGTTGCATGTCCGTTAGATCTGTGTTTGAAAATGGTTTTAGGAGACCAAGATTGGGAGTCGATGAAGCCGAGGAACTAAGTAGAGAAGTGTTGCCTCTCGGCAATGAGCTCGGCGATAAAGCATCTCGGGGATGGGCAAATTTGAGGTCTCGTGATTGTGGGTTCAAGGCGAGGGGGGAGAGGGTGGTGGTTGTTTGGTGGTGTAAGAGGGAGAGCGGGAACGATGTGGTTGACGTCTCGTGAAACAGAGAGCAGAGAGGGCTCTTAGCTAGTCCTATGGTTTTTGGGGACTCTCGCTAAGAACCTCTAGCAACATCCTTAGTCTAGGTTAATCCCAACTAGTCTCATTAACATTAGTCCCGTGCAACAACAAAAACAGGACTAGACTAATAGTTAGTCCAGTCTCACTTAACGAGGGCAAACAAACTCCACCTTAAAGATTACGAAGAAAGACTCTTAAATTCTGAAAAATCAGAGTCACGACCCACTAAAGTAAAAGATGCTTGGTTTCTTCGAGGACTCGTTGGCCGAAGAATAATTTACTTGCGTAGAGCTGCATTCTACTTAAATAATAATAATTTATAAATGGCTTATAGATTAGTTGGTAAGAATATTCGCCATTTCACCCAATGTCATTTCGTCTCTCTCCCAAAAAATTGGAAAAGAAAAACTAATAAAACTGGTCAAAACTTAATAAAAAATGAAATATACGAAGCAGCCATAGTTTGTCGAGGTAAAAGGAAAAGGTCCATCATCATTGCCTCTTTAAGCTAGAATCGCATTCAGTCACCGGTCGGAGTTGGGATGCTGCTATGACGCCGATGGGCCAGGCCGCCGCCGCCGAAGTGTACGTGCCGATGACCCTTCAAGCATGGCGGGGTCTCGTGAACTGGGTGGGCTTCTTCTACCAGATTATTCTTCAGATCCTGAGAGGCGCGCCTTGCCTTCCTCACCTGCTGTCCTGCATTTCTTCCTCTTCTTCTCCTGCTTTCAGGCCTCTGCCAGTCGCCGAAGTCCCTCTCAACGACTTGTCGTCCTCCGCCCACGTCGAAAACGGCGTCGTGGATGGTCGCCCAGTCGAAAAGCTCACGGTGCGCTTCTTCAGTCTCCATCTCCTAGATTTATTATCACAGTTGTTAGTTTTTACTGTTGGAAGTTGATTTTTTTGGCCTTTTTCTTTCTGGAGTAATTATTCAACTGAAATATGCTCGGATGTAGTTAATTATGCGAAATCACAATCTGGATTATTCGCTTTGCTTTATAAAAAAAATATAAAAAATCTGGGTTATTTGCAAAAAAATGAAATTTTTATTTAAAGCGAAATAGAGTTTGGAAGTAATTTTAAAATTACGGAACCAATTCTAGTAAAAATCCAAGTGGATAATCCAAAATCAATTTTACTAAAAACGTTTTCCGTCATTTTAAAAGCACTTCCAAACAAGCATCCCCTTGGTGGTGTTAATTTTTTTTCCTTTGGATTTACTGCTAGAATTTAAGTGATTGGATTTTGTTAATTAAACATAAAGGTTGGAACTTTTAGGATTGTATGGTATAATTTTGCGAGTTGTTAAGGTTGAAGTTTATGCTTGGCGGACAAATTTGACAACACTTGGTTCAAATGACATGAATATGCTAGTTTTTTTCCGGGTGACGGGTTTTGATTACTAATGGATTTTGTAATGGAGGTGGTTCTTGATTTGGATGAGACTCTAGTGTGTGCTTATGAGACATGAAGTGTGCCTGCAATTGTTCGCGCTCGAGCAACGGAAGCTGGGATGAAGTGGTTTGAGATAGAATGTCTATCTTCAGACATGTAAATGAAAATTCTGCAGGTTCCGGCCAAATCCGTTTCGTCATACTGCTTCCAAGGCCAACAAATTTGACCTCGGAATATATTACGACGGCCGTCTTATGAAAATAGTTTGGTTCATCGACAGTGTAATGTTAGCATGTAATCTCTTGATTTGATAGTTTTGTTTTAACGAGGCTTTTAAGATAATACTGCAACATAAACTTAGGGCCGGTTTTGGACTGCTTTAAAATATGTTTCAGAGTGTAACTTAACAAGTGCTTCAAGGTTCATAGAAGTGCTTTCTAACTATCACTAGAGTCAACAGTTAAACTTGAAAAGGGCTTCAAGGTCACGGAACCGCTTTATGAATAAGCACTTGGACTTGTAGGAAACGCATTTATGAGCGAAAGAACTTTGGTACACAATTGAATGTTGCCTATTATGCATCTCTCTTACTGTAACTATTCTAAGAAAGCGGTAAATCTGTTTTACATGGCTATGAGTTCGGAACTATTGCGGTATCCCCCATCTGAAGTTCAACTAGCACTAGATGACTCCTTTGGTTTCTCTGTGACTGCTTCCTTTTCCGAGTTGCTTGCCTCCCCAGCCTGGGACTGACTTGACTGTGCCTCGGTCTGAGACTGACTTGTTTGTGCCTCGGCTTGAGACTGACTTGTCTGTGCCTCGGCCTGAGACTGACTTGTATGTGCCTCGGCCTGAAACTGACTTGTCTGTGCCGCAGCCTGAGACTGACTTGTATGTTCCTCGGCCTGAAACTGACTTGCCTGTGCCACAGCCTGAGACTGACTTGTCTGTGCTGCGGCGTGAGACTGACTTGTCTGTGCCGCAGCTTGAGACTGACTTGTCTGTGCCGCGGCTTGAGACTGACTTGTTTGTGCCGGAGAATCGGAAACAATTCCCAAAACTACCAATATCGACCTGAAAAAAAAAATCCAAACATCAGAGCTGACCCTCCCCATTCTAGAGATCTTTAATGTCAAATGAGACAAAAGGAATTTTCATTCACCTTGGAAGGGAAGATCGGATGTCTGGTTGACTAGCATGAGCAACCAACGGTCCTTTCAGAGCTGCAGTTCTCTTCAGTGCGTTTTCTAGCTGTGCTGGAGGTAGCTGAGACAATAAATTATATACCATCAGCTCATACAGATGTGAAGAACACTTGTTTCAAAGTCCAAATAGATTATTTAGGATAAACAATTTCATTGTATATTAACTTCAGATTTTCTTCCCTCTAGTGAGCAAAATAGTCCAATGAGCGTGCTGTTTATTATCCATTTAGAAGATCGCCAAAGAGAATCACAAAATCGGGCTTCTAGTGCAAAAAGTAGTGATAAAAGATTGCAAGGATAAAGAAGCAACACTGTTGAAAGCAAAGACACACCTGAAGCAGCACGGCAAATGACTGAGGTTTTGTCAAGAACGTACACTTTAAGAATCCCACCCACAACTTCGGGTATTTCCATATCTACAACATGCCATCAGTCACATAAACACGCCACACGTAATAAATGAATAGAAACAAAATTAAGAAACTGAAAACTTACCTGCTTGCTCACAAGCCGAGACAGGATCTCCATTATAAAATCCACCTATGTTATTTATTGACAAAAACTTGCCAAGTCAGTAACAGATGTTATAGTTTCTTATTCCCCAAAAAGCAGTTTATTATCCCTAAAAGCAAAATCAGCTGCACTACTCGAACTCGTAGTTTATTTAATTAATAGATAACTTTTTCTGTCTATAAGTTATGATGACAACATATCAGTCAGACCAATTACATTTAACGAGGGGGAGATGAATATGATTGAATTTCTCAGCAGCATACGATTTGCCGTAGGATTGTTGTGGTCCAACTTGCCTAGGCGCTCCTTGTGTAAAGGAGTGATTCCTACCAAGAATCGCACTAGTGTGATGCCGGTAATTTCTATCCATTTATTGTAATATTTCCATGCTGTTCCTTGAATTTTCCTATTTTTCCTCAATTCTCAACAATTTACAGCATGCATCTCACATGTTAAACAAACATCAGTAATCATAGTCCAAAGAAAGTACTAAATGCATGTATTTTCCTTCTTGTCCTACATCAGTTTAAGTTTATAACGATTTATTCAGATCTTACCAGTGCAGGAAAGGCACCTATGGCTTGTAATACAGTACGCATAAACAGTAAAGGAAGAGGAATCTGCTCAACCTGCAAGTAGGAAGCTTGATCATCTTTAAGTTCTGCTTGAAAGCGGTGAAAAAGAAAGATAAGGAAATATCTAATGGTACAAACCAACTGATTCAAAACTTTGGCAAGAACTTGTTGGGTGAATATCTGCCTCTGCTCAAAGCAGGCATTGCATGCATCTGTGACCTGCTCACCAAAAAAAATATTATTCAACCATTCATTATTGCCACTCAGAGAGATTTCCAACCAAGAAAAAAAAAAGATGACATGCCTTCTTTAGTGGAATTCCATCTCTGTCGGGATCAATTCCGTGGATAGCAATCAAGATTTCAGCTGGAGCCAGAAGAGGACCAGACTGGGATGATCCCTGTGCAAGGTTGATTAAAGATCAAGCAACGAATAATAGAAGTATTTCGCAAGCATATTAATAGCAAAATTTACATGTGAAAACATCTGAAGGATTAAAAATGTATGTCTCTAGATTGGGTGAGCAAGTCTCTTGTCTGTAGAGAAACATGTGCGAATAAATGAAAAGAAAGAAACCATCATGAACACATCAAAGAATACAACAACAAAGCCTTTTCCCACTAAGTGGGGTCGGCTATATGAATCCTAAAACGTCATTGCGCTCGGTTCTGTGGAACACGTCAAAGAATAAAAAAAAAGGTCGTACCCAGTGCACAAGGCTCCCGCTTTACGCAGGGTCTGGAACACGTCAAAGAATGATGCATAAAATTTGTAACAAAGGAGCTTTGAAATATCTGATAGCATGCACATTCACGAATGGAATTATAACTGATAATAGGGTCTTACAAATAATTTATCACAAAGTGGGGCATGGGAAGCAATAGTATAAAAGATTTGAGGTCACAATTGTATCAGAAAATGACAAGGATCATTGAAAGATTATGGCATTATCTTCTCATATTGTCTGTAATAACTAATGACCCATATGAAACAGAACAGTCTTACACTTAGAATTCATAAATTGCCAAGAACTAACAAGGAAACATAGATACCTGTAGTATGCGAGCTAGTGCTGCTTGGAACTTATCCAGTTGAAGATTCATAAGTTGGGGAAATATAAGCAAAACCTTAAAAAAGAAAGCTTATTAGATCATTAACACCAAAATAATAAAGAGCCAACTGACTTAAAATCAGTATGAAACATTCTAAGTCTAAAGAATCAAATGCAAGTAACAAGAGCTGGAAAGGTTCATCCATAATATACCAAGTACAAGATAGCAAATTGCGTTTAAAGTACTAAGATCTACTATTGTGGCAGTTATTTGGATTGTGGATAGAGAGAAATAACATAACCTTCGATGATGAGTAAGTTAAATTCTACAGGAGAGAAGCATGTTATTGGCACCTTTATGGGCATCAACGCTAAAGCATTTTATAGTATATTCCTTTAATTTAACTGATATTCATTGACAAGAGTTAAGATTCATGAATAAATTTGTAATCGCTTTCTTGTAGCTTCAGCATTATTTCTATCATACACAGAAACCTTGTTCGTCTCTTCCAGTCCATCATTTATCTTTCCTATCAATATTAACCCAAGAAGAAAAACAGTTTACGCTATTTCAAAAGAGCACAAAATGTAGTTGATGGAATAGTGTAGTACCCTCAGCCACTCTCAAATATTATAACAAGAAAGGCATGTAACAAGAAACATAAACACACACATCACATGGTAGTGCTATTATGAAAAGACAGTGAAAGGGATGGAACCTCATCTTTAGGCAGAAAGGGTAATATTGGAATAAGAATCTCTATATCCTGTAATCATTCATAAACAACAATATATAAGCTAATTTTCCAAAGAAAAAATAAACCATATATAAGCTAACAGTGTCATTTAATTTCAACTGTCATACAGAAATGATAAACGTACCTTCAGTTTTGAATCATATAGCTTTCTAACAGTAAAAATCAGTTCTTGAGAGGGAACTGTTCCATCCGTCAGGGTATGTAAAACCTGATTCCATTAAACAGAAGAGATGTTATTTGTTATTGGATGGTACTGACAAAACTGTAATGTTGTTATTACAAACCTGCATCAGGAGATTCTCGCTTCCAGTTGGAGGATCAGAAATAATTTCAAGAAGATTTGGTGATGATCCCATAGTTCGTACAAGTATTGGAATTTGGCGTTGAACCGCCTGCACTGCCCCATATAACTGATGAGAAGAAAAACATCCTCATGGGGAAGGAGTAGCAAGCCCTATGCTAATTTCTACATCAATATACAATTAAAAAGAACTAAACCTGCTTGATGGCCTTTGATGCGCTTCCGTAAACAACAAATATTTGGCGAAAAAGGGAATGCTTCTGCCAATTGAGGTTTTACCAATCATGTTAACTTCAATAAAAATAATATTGAATATTTTAATAATTAATTAATGGACATTAAAAGCAACTCAGCGTTTGATAATAAGATAAAGTAACACCTTTGTACAAAGAGCAAAATACAATGACAAACACCGCTGGGCCTCAGCAATTGAGAGGGACGACACATTTTGAGAACTGAATGACTGATGATTATCAGAGGAGATATCTTTACTGTTACCACTCACTGATGGAGGTTCATTGGAATGTTTTTCTGAATCAGAATCCTGAGGGAAAACCATTTAAATGTTAACTCTCTGATTCATAACAACAATACAAAATATATTTGATAGAAACCCCACATCGACAATGCAAAGATTAGAACCTTCTGTAATTCATATTTCGATCCTTCAGCATCTATCTTTTCAGTTGCATCACAACTTTTTAGAGAAAGCAACTTTTCAATAGCGAAATCTTCTATTCGTTGGGCAATAAATGACAGAGGATAAAGCTTGTTTGCAACCTGTTAGACAAAGCAACCCATAATGCAAACAAAGTTAGAACCATACAGTTAATTTGTTGAGCTAATAGCAAGTTGTGAATAAGTACCAGACGTATAGCCTTCATGCGCACTTCCTCCAGATGATGGACTGCACTCTTCCAGAGGAAAAATAGAACACAGTCAGATGAAATAAAGGAAAAAGAAAAATTCTTTAACACCGAATGGTATAGAGGAATTTCAGAAATGGGAGTAACGTAGGGATAAAGGAAAGAACCTGTAAAGCAATTTTTAAGCATGGATCTCGGAGAGGAGGCCTTAGCAAAATCAGGCTCCAGACAATGCTAAGACCTTGAGTCACTCGATCCCCACCTTGTGTTTCCTTCTCGGTTTTGTCGCAGTTTCCAGGTGAGCACATGCACTCCAAGAATTTCAAAACTGAATCTGGTAAATAAGGAACCTCACCAAGCAATCTGCTTAATGACTTGTCCGATGGTGGAAAAGAATCTCTAAGTGTATCCACCTGCAATGAAATGAAAGATATTATAAAATGTTCTTCGACATTTGTAAAGAAAAAAGATGGTTAATAATATAGAGATAAAAGCACACCGCAGTTGAAAGGAACATTTCATATACAGAAGTAGCAGTTGTCGAAGAAAAGAAATCGCGTTCCTCTTCTGCCTCTCCAAATAACCTGTATAGGACACGCAATGTCAACTCGTGTCCCTGAAGAGATTCCAGAGTCACTGTCAGTTATTATATATGCCAGAGAATCACAAGAACACATAGTTAAACAACTACCATCCTTTTTCTTTAACAACTAATATCTATTACTAATTTAATATCTATTAAAAATATTTGGATGAGTATCTGCAACAGAAATGAATTTCATCCCAGTATCCATAAAATACGGTAATTTATTACAGATGGTATTATTCCAAGAACGTGAGACACTTTGCACTAACATCTGGTAATGTTACCAGGTATATATAGTTCTTAAAATTTCTACAATCGAAACACGTAACTGAAATGGAAGCCATCTAAATTCCAATACATACCTGAGTAGCATACATCTATTCAAAGGGAATTATTAACTCCACTCCTCAAACAATCAAAAAATTTCAAACTTCCATAAAACAGATCATCCTTTTCACCACCCATTGTGTCCAAAAGACTCAAACTGAGTTTTCAATTGTAATAAACCAAAAGTGCATTCTTGTATGTATCAAATTAACATGATAGAGAAAAAAATACAACTATATCCTAAAATCACCAAAACCCGTTCACATACCTCATTATTCGTATAATCTGCCAAGATATGCTTCTGCAGCAGTTTCCATGGGTCTAACTCCAAAGGGAACTACAAAGATAAATCAAATTTTGGTTCTGTAAGAAACCACAGCACTGAGAAAGTTTTCATCGAAATTAAGAAAATGACATCATACAGTTAGCCTCCACTAAGAATGCCTAGATTCAGCCGCTACCCGTAACACCAAAAACAAAGAAAGAAAAACTAAAAGGGGCTTAAGAATAAAATAAATAAATATCTGAAAAAACAATAACTAGGATTGAAACAAGGAACAACAATTACAGCCGGCGCAAATTACAATTAGCCACATATAAGAAGCTTGAATTACTACCTCAACTCCTAAACTTATAAGGAGAGAACATCGTATTTGGGAACCTCCTGCAACGGCTATTTGCTTGTATGCCTCGATGATGCGAGTAAAAGCCAACTGCTGCAACCAATCCTTCTCTTCATCAGAAAGGATAACAACCGGTGCCGACATCTTGGGCAGGACAAGATGATGGGACAACCCAACTGAAGTTGCTGTCGAAGAAAGCACACTGACATCTGCAACAGCTGCTCGTGGACTAAGCTCCTCAGACTTATCAGTTGATAGTGATGGAAGTAGATTAAGTGGAGTCCTTTGACCCATACTGGTAACTTGCTCTTGGCATGCATTTTCTACCTTAACACTGGTAACTTGCTCTTGGCTTGCATCTTCTACATCCATTAAGGTTGATGAGGATGCAATGATGGGTTCTGATCCACTATTACAAGCAGAATCCAGTCCAGGTATTTCACTCTCAAGATATTCCATATCATGATCAGATGGAAGTGATGGGCAACCATGCTCCATTTCAGATGAAGCTGGTAAACGCATAGGTAAGATGGCAGTTTCATCTCCAAAAACATAATCCATGCCAGTAGATGCAACACCGCTATCAACTACATCTGGTACCTGTTCTTCCTCCTGTTCGGATTTCTGCAATTACCATAAACATTGCAATTCAAGAAAAATAAGGGGAAAAAGGGGGTGAAAACCAAAATGAGAATAGAAAACTGTACCACTATATCACTGGACACTGACTGATGAGCATCTAGGAGTGCAGCTATAGGAGGGAAAGTACTTGTAAGTGAAAGAACATCAGCAATAAATGATGGTGGATATTTAACTCGAGAATCACCGCCGACTATATGCATGTTCATCAGAGATTCATCTCCTTCATCTCCAAGAAGATTGGGTGGAAGGTTGCACATATTAGCCATCACTACCTCTGCTAGCAAGTCAGCAGAGATACTTGAGATAAGAATTTCCAAAGAACCAACAGCTTTTTCACCTTGAGCAACCAATGCACCAAACATAGCAACAAGTTGCTGCACAGGTCCATTATCACCGTCTCCTCTAGAAGTGGTAGTTCCACTTGAAGAAACATCATCTAGAGACGCAGAAACATTCCTTCCTACCTCTTAGCCGAATCCCCAGAGAAACTAGATGTCGATTTGGCACGCTTTCCTGATACATCTTGATCCACTGCAAGATCACTACCATCAAGTGCTCCTAACCGTTTCTTCCCAAAACTACTTTGCACAGCATTAGTTATTGTAATAGTTGGCTTCTCTTCCTGCAAAACATTAAGCTCATGTTCAAGACGCTTCAAGATACATGTATGCCAATGGCCCAATGTGTACTTTTGCAAGAGCATCCACTTTTTGTATCTCTACAGATCCAATGTAATATAAAATAGGAAGGATACCTTAGTAACTAGAGAATCATCTAGCCCGTCTTCCACACTTCCATTAATCTTGCATTCTTGCTGGGTGGCTAGCTCTACCAACCCTCCAGCTTGCATCTTTCTCAACGCACCAACCAAACGATCCCGCCACTGCAGAATGCAAACTCCATTATTCAGATTCTTTATACTAAAGTAAATCACACAAAGGAGAAACCAGATTCAAGAAAACAAACAGTGTGGTATTTCAACAGATAATGAGAATAATGAAACCTTTTTTTTTTTCTGAAAAGAAAATAGAACGAGAAACGGTGTTGGCATCATCGTGGACAAGACCTTGGTACAAGATGTTGTAGATGTCAAGAGGGTAGGAGATAGAATCATGGCAATCAAGATTGTAATAGGACAAGAAGTTATCAATGTGATTAGTGCGTACGCACCTCAAGTAGGGTTGGATACGAGTTCGAAGGAGAAATTTTGGGAAGATCTTGGAGACTTGGTGCAAGGAATTGCTCAGACGGAGAAGTTATTTATAGGAGGAGATTTAAATGGACACGTGGGCAGGGAGACAGGCAACTATGGAGGTTTTCATGGTGGCCATGGTTTTGGGGAGAGAAACGAGGATGGGGAAGCTATCTTGGATTTTGCAATGGCATATGATCTCTTCTTAGCCAACACCTTCTTTAAGAAGAGAGAAGAACATGTGATCACCTACAAGAGTGGGTCGTCAAAAACACAAATAGATTTTCTTCTAATGAGGAAAGGGGATCGTATAACTTGTAAGGATTGCAAAGTTATACCAGGAGAGAGCGTGGCTAATCAACATCGCTTGTTGGTGATGGATGTACATATCAAAAGAGTAAGACAAAAGAACAAGACTTGGAAGTGCCCAAGGACTAGATGGTGGAATCTAAAAAAGAAGAAAACAAGCCATTTTCAAAGAGAAGGTAATCACCCAATGTGTGTGGGATAGAGAGGGGGAAGCTAGCCAAATGTGGGATTCCATGGCTAGTTGTATCCGAAAAGTAGCAAAAGAGGTATTAGGAGAGTCCAAGGGCTTTGCCCCACACCAAAAAGGAATCTTGGTGGTGGAATGAGGAGGTACAAACAAAGGTGAAGGCTAAGAAGGAATGTTGTAAAGCCTTATACAAGGAGAGGACCGATGAAAATGGTGAAAGGTATAGAAAAGCGAAGCAAGAGGCGAAGAAAGCTGTCAGAGAAGCTAAGTTAGCGGCTTACGACGATATGTATAAACGACTAGGTACCAAAGAAGGAGAGTTGGATATCTATAAACTATCTAGAGCAAGGGAAAAGAAGACAAGGGACCTAAACCAAGTGAGGTGCATCAAGGATGAGGATGGAAAGGTTCTTGCTACAGAGAATGCGGTTAAAGACAGATGGAGAGGTTATTTTCATAATCTTTTCAATGAAGGACATGAAATGAGTGCTTCTTTAGGGGAGTTGAGTAACTCAGAAGAGTGTAGAAACTACTCTTTTTTATCGGCGAATCCGGAAGGAAGAAGTGGTTGTAGCTTTGAAGAAGATGAAGCATAAAAAAGCAATAGGCCCAGACGATATACCAATCGAAGTGTGGAAACTTTTGGGAGAGACAGGTATAACATGGCTCACTGACCTTTTCAATAGGATTTTGAAAACGAAGAAGATGCCAAATGAGTGGCGAACGAGCACACTTTGGTGCCTATCTACAAGAATAAGGGCGACGTACAAAATTGCATGAACTATAGGGGTATTAAGCTAATGAGTCATACAATGAAGCTCTGGGAGAGAGTCATTGAGCATAGATTGAGGCAAGAGACACGGGTTTCGGACAACCAATTCGGGTTCATGCCAGGGCGCTCAACCATGGAGGCAATCTATCTCTTACGAAGATTGATGGAAAGATATAGAGATGGGAAAAAGGTTTTACACATGGTCTTTATAGATTTGGAAAAAGCGTATGATAGGGTCCCAAGAGACATTCTTTGGAGGATTTTAGAGAAGAAAGGAGTACGAGTAGCATATATATCCAAGCTATAAAGGATATGTATGAAGGAGCAAAGACTGCCGTAAGAACTCATGAAGGACAAACCGAAAGCTTTCCCATAACTGTAGGATTACATCAAGGCTCATCCTTAAGTCCTTACCTTTTTGCGTTGGTAATGGATGAGTTAACAGGACATATTCAAGATGATATTCCTTGGTGTATGCTTTTCGCAGACGATATAGTGTTGATAGATGAAACTCAGGAAGGGGTAAATGCAAAGCTTAACCTTTGGAGAGAAGTGTTGGAATCTAAAGGTCTTCGCCTAAGCCGATCAAAGACAGAATATATGGAGTGCAAGTTCAGTGCAAATGGAGGTCAAAACGAGTTAGGGGTGAGGATCGGAGATCAAGAAATACCAAAGAGCGACCGTTTTCGTTACCTAGGATCTATCTTGCAAAAGAACGGAGAATTAGATGGAGATCTCAACCATAGAATACAAGCTGGATGGATGAAGTGGAAGAGTGCATCCGGCGTGTTGTGTGACCGCCGTATGCCACTGAAGCTCAAGGGAAAATTTTATAGGACGGCAATAAGGCCGGCGATGCTGTATGGCACAGAATGTTGGGCGGTGAAACATCAACACGTACACAAAATGGGTGTAGCGGAGATGAGGAGGATGCTTCGTTGGATGTGTGGGCACACGAGAAAGGATAAGATTAGGAATGAGGATATCCGGGGTAAAGTAGGAGGAGTAGCCGAAATTGAAGGAAAGATGAGAGAAAATCGGTTACGGTGGTTTGGACATGTGCAAAGAAGGCCTACTGACGCTCCGATTAGAAGATGCGACTATGGGACAGAGGTTCAGGGCCGAAGGGGTAGAGGAAGACCTAGGAAAACTTTGGAAGAGACTCTAAGAAAAGACTTAGAGTACTTGGATTTAACGAAGGACATGACACAGGATCGAGCACAATGGCGTTCTAAGATTCATATAGCCGATCCCACTCAGTGACTTGGATTTTCCAAGTCTCCAACCGAGAAGTTTTCTTCACTCGGGAAATTAAGGGAACACTACCCCAACCTACATGCTCCACTCAGAAAGCTTCAACATACAAGCTTCAACAAAAGAAAATTCAAAGAACTTAGCGAAGAAGGCTTTGGTGTATTTAACACAATACGTTGAAATGAAGGAAAGCTTATTTATTGATATCCCCGATAAGCTACAAATATATACATATACATGAGTCAAAATAAACACACAAGAGGGAGCCTTCACAAAGGTTGCTTAGGAGAAGTCTCAGCAGTCGGTAGAGCCCCAGAAAGAGAAGGCACCGGAGGGGGATCATTTGGAGCCTCAGTAATGGACAGAACCCTAGAAGGAGGAGGCATCAGAGGTTGATCATTTGGAGCTTCATTACGCGGTACAGCCCCAGAAGACGAAGGCAATAAATGCCTTTGGAACAAACCCACAAATCTCTGATGATCAAGTAAAACCTGACCATCAGTTTCCTTCATCTGGTCAAGCTTCCTCTTCATGTTTGTAGCATAGTCATGTGCGAGCCGGTGCAACTGTTTATTCTCATGCTTGAGCCCTCTAATCTCCTGTTTGAGACTCATCACTTCAGCCGCCAATGATTCAACTTGGCGGGTTCGAGCAAATAGGCGTTGGGCCATATTAGACACAGAACCTGCACACTGAACACTGAGAGCCAGCGAATTCTTAACAGCTAACTCATCAGACCGTTTGGAAAGTAGTCTGTTATCTTTGGGAGTGAGAAGGTTGCTGGCCACCACCGCAGCGGTCATATCATTCTTCATCACGGAATCCCCAACGGTAAGAGGACCAGTAGGGGAGACGAAGGATGGGCGTCATATGTTGTCTGGAGAAGGCGGGGCTGCCTCTTCAACAAGGTTCAAGTCAAAACGACGGTCGGAGGGGCCAGACATTTTCAAAGGTGTTGAAGAGAGAAGAGGTCGGACAAATCAAGATCTTAGAAGTGCAAGAATGAAGCATCTACTGGTGGAGATTCAAGTGTGCTTTGGAACTTAATGCCAGCCCCTATAAAAATCTGCACTCGACGGAGCTTCAGAAATCGAAGAGGCGCCTGCTCAGAAATCGAAGAGGCGTTTGCTTTCTCAAAAGCTGGGCTGCTTAGAGATCACGAGGGTTGATCTCAGAAATCGAAGAGGCGTTTGCTTTCTCAAAAGTTGGGCTGCTCAAAGACCACGAAGGCCGATCTCAGAAATCGAAGAGGCGCTCGCTTTCTCAAAAACTGGGCTCCCCAGAGACCACGAGGGCCGATCTCAGAAATCGAAGAGGCACCTACTTTTCCAGCCTTGTCAGCACCTGTCACACGCACACTCAGCTTTGCGGAAATTATGAGCATTCTGTCGAAGACTTCTGGGGAAGTAGAAAACACATGAATCTTACTGTTCAATCACCCACTTCCCACACGCAACAATAGCTCATGGGTACCACAGATAACTTTGCCAAAGTTCTCTGCCAAAGTCGAGCACGTGAAGCTTGCAGCTCCCACTACATCGCTGTAACCAAGAAGGGTAAAAAAATAGCAAAGAAACAGCACTAACAAAGTTTAGACCCATAAATTTTGAAGGTCTAGCTACCATATTATTACCCACAAGGGTAAAGGAACAGTACCACTGCTGGATAATTGGAAAGTCCCTGTGTGTCAACCTCTGTGCTTCGTGGCAAGGTAGACTAGCAAACATGCCCAACCTTTACTCACATTCGAGAAAACACTCCCAATAAGATTGCTTGCTCCAAAATCGAAGAGGCACCGTCCTCCGAATCTCGAGAGCCAGACTCCCAACATGACTACTTTCTTAAAAATCGAAGAGAGGGTAAAGGAACAGTACCATTGCTGGATAATTGGAAAGTCCCTGTGTGGCAACCTCTGTGCTTCGTGGCAAGGTAGACTAGCAAACATGCCCAACCTTTACTCACATTCGAGAAAACACTCCTAACAAGATTGCTTGCTCCAAAATCGAAGAGGCACCGCCCTCCGAATCTCGAGAGCCAGACTCCCAACATGATTACTTTCTCAAAAATCGAAGACACTGCTCCTCGAATCTCGAGAGCCAGACCCCCAGCATGATTGCCTTCTCAAAAATCGATGAGGCATCGTTCTCCGAATCAATCGAAGAGGCGCTCGCTTTCTCAAAAGTTGGGCTGCTCAGAGACCACGAGGGCCGATCTCAGAAATCGAAGAGGCACCTACTTTTCTAGCCTTGTCAGCACCTGTCACACGCACACTCAGCTTTGCAGAAATTATGGGCATTCTGTCGCAGACTTCTGGTGAAGTAGAAAGCACATGAATCTTACTGTTCAATCATCCACTTCCCACACGCAACAATAGCTCATGGGTACCACAGATGACTTTGCCAAAGTTCTCTGCCAAAGTTGAGCACGTGAAGCTTGCAGCTCCCACTACATCGCTCTGACCAAGAAAGGTAAAAGAATAGCAAAGAAACAGCACTAACAAAGTTTAGACACATAAATTTTGAAGGTCTAGCTACCATATTATTACCCACAAGGGTAAAGGAACAGTACCACTGCTGGATATCGAAGAGGCACCGTCTTCTAAATCTCGAGAGCCAGACTCCCAACATGACTACTTTCTCAAAATCGAAGAGAGGGTAAAGGAACAGTACCATTGCTGGATAATTGGAAAGTCCCTGTGTGTCAACCTTTGTGCTTCGTGGCAAGGTAGACTAGCAAACATGCCCAACCTTTACTCACATTCGAGACAACACTCCCAACAAGATTGCTTGCTCCAAAATCGAATAGGCACCGCCCTCCGAATCTCGAGAGCCAGACTCCCAACATGATTACTTCCTCAAAAATCGAAGAGACACTGCTCTCCGAATCTCGAGAGCCAGACCCCCAGCATGATTGCTTTCTCAAAAATCGAAGAGGCATCGTTCTCCGAATCTCGAGAGCCAGATACCACAGACCACTTTTTCAAAGTGCTCTGACAGAGTTAAAACATGTGAAACTGGCAACTCCCACTACCGTGCTATGACCAAGCAGGGTAAAGGAATAGCATTACTACTTGTTGTTAGGGAGACTCCTATATATGTCGACCTCCATCCCCAACGGACAGGCAGACCTGCAAAAATGCTCAACCCTTCATCATATCTGAGAGGGCACTCCCAACGAAGCCTTTCGAAATATTCAGCTTTCTTTCCCCCCGATAATACCTCTGCAAACAAGCTATACTAGAGCAAGAATATCTCATATCATCAGGGTTAAAAGCAAGAGTATCCCATATCATGCTTTTTCCCTGTCTTTTCCTTTGGCCTTGTTTTTACCTGCAAGACAAGGAGAAAGAGAGCAATCAGTCAGCACTTGGAATCAAGCTTCCAGCCAGGAACTGACTGCCTGGAACCCCTTACCTGATTACTTACCTGGCATTGCTCTCGAGTACTCATCTTCAACATCTTATGTTTCCAGGGAAGATTCCGCATCTGCTTGAGGGACAGATAGGGCAAGTGCGAAGGATACAAGGAAGCATGTGGAGACAAGCGTAACAGCACACGTGCCGATACATCCATTACTCTGTCAAAAGCAAAAGTATCCCATATCAGCAGGGTTGAACGTACTCTAGATTTGATGGACTTGTTTTGACCCTCAAATTCTTCAGTCGGCCTTATATTCTGGAGGAAACCAGAAAACCCTCCAGCTCAGTTCAAGAATAAGCCTGTGGAAAGTTACTTCTTCAAAAGCAAAAGTATCTCATATCATCTCTTCTCATTTTTCTTCTCTTTATCCTTCATGCTGCTGCAAGATGGGGAGAAGGTGAACAATCAGTCGGAGCTCTGATTGCTTACCTTGTCTGTCACCTCTTTCAGCAGACCCCCTAGCTCGGCGACTTGGGGGACTCCTACTACATGGTTTGTATCGCGCTTGACCAAGCCTGAAACTACAAGTAAGCTTCAAGTGAAATTGATACATTACCTTGTGCATCTCCACCAGTTAAAGATACCACCCCCTGGATGGAGGAAGAGTACTTCCAGAGAAGATGCCACATCTACCTATGAGACAGATAAGGCAAGTCAAGACGACACCACACTCCGATACTTAGAAGTTTCGTGATTACGAGATCATTCTCCCCACAATATTTCCTAATGTCATTTGTACTAAATCATTCACTTGTACTCACTAAAGGAGAGCTTGAACCTATGTACTTGTGTAAACCCTTCACAATTAATGAGAACTCTTCTATTCCGTGGACGTAGCCAATCTGGGTGAACCACGTACACATCTTGTGTTTGCTTTTCTATCTCTATCCATTTATATACTTATCCACACTAATGACCGGAGGAGCAATCTAGTGAAGATCACAAAAAGCGACCGTTTTCGCTACCTAGGATCTATCTTGCAAGAGAACGGAGAATTAGATGGAGATCTCAACCATAGAATACGAGCTGGATGGATGAAGTGTAAGAGTGCATCCGGCGTGTTGTGTGACCGTCGTAGGCCACTGAAGCTCAAGGGAAAATTTTATAGGACGGCAATAAGGCCAGCGATGTTGTATGGCACAGAATGTTGGGCGGTGAAGCATCAACACGTACACAAAATGGGTGTAGCGGAGATGAGGATGCTTCGTGGGATGTGTGGGCACACGAGAAAGGATAAGATTGGGAATGAGGATATCCGAGGTAAAGTAGGAGTAGCCGAAATTGTAGGAAAGATGAGAGAAAATCGGCTCCGGTGATTTGGACATGTGCAAAGAAGGCCGACTGACGCTCCGGTTCGAAGATGTGACTACGGGACAGAGGTTCAGGGCCGAAGGGGTAGAGGAAGACCTAGGAAAACTTTGGAAGAGACTCTAAGAAAAGACTTAAGTACTTGGATCTAACGGAGGACATGACACAAAACCGAGCGCAATTGCGTTCTAGGATTCATATAGCCGACCCCACTTAGTGGGAAAAGGCTTTGTTGTTGTTGTTGTTGTAACCTTTACTGAAAGAGTTTGTCTGATAATTCCTTTAGGTTGGAAATCTTTTGGGTAAACACTAATCAATATTCACTATCACTGATCCATTGCTAAACTAAATAAGATGGTGATAGAAAGCTTTTCCCTCTTTTGTTATAAAATGTTGAACATACATGTGCAAACCGTTCATATCAATCTTCTAAAAAGCTAAAGTTTTATAGAGTAAGGCCCTGTTTGTTACACCTCCTTAAGAGGGACAGGCTTAAATAACAGTCCTATGTTTGGTATGGTCAAGGACTGCAATAATGAGACTAACATGGATTAAGAGAGGCTTTGCGCCTCACTAAACCCCATCATCTAATCTTGAGCCGAAGCTTGGTATTAAAAAGTACAAGCTAGAAAGGAGGACGATGGCCTCACCCCACCACTTTCCTGCATGCATCTTGCTCTTCCTCTCTCTTTTCTCCCTTCATCCCTCTCTCAATCCCCGCCTTTCTCTCCCATTCTCTCTTTGAACCGACGACAAACCTCTTGGCTCCAAATCTGGGTCAACCTGGCGCAGGCCTCCAGCTGTAGACAGGTTGGACTAATTGGCGAGGAGATTTAGGTCCAGATCTGGTGGGCGATTTTAGTAGGGTGTTCCAGTAGACTCTGGTTTTGGTTTATTGAACAAAGGAAACAAGTTAAACAGAAATTGTCGTAATGTGAGGCACTGAAACATGTGATGGTAGTTGTTCTGGTGTATTTCTTATATTCAGAAAGCTCTGCACTTGCACCAAAATACCATCAAGAATTTCACCTAAGCTGAAACTCAAGAACACCCAGATCCTCTCTCTATCTCTCTCTCTCGTGGATATGGACTCCCCCAACCCAAATCAACCGCCACCAACCCACCACCACAAATACCTACAGAGGACGATGGAGAAGACAAATGTCAAACCAATTACCAGATAGGTTTCCAAACTAGAATTCCTATGGATATTTTGTACCAAGTTACCGAACAGTCTGAAATGGAATAGAACAATTGGTTTCCAATGATCGATAGCAGCTCCACCGAACGGGACAAGCAAAGGGAAAATTCTATGGGGTTTATCTACAATCCATTGTCGGACAGTGCGCACTCAATAACAATATCATGGCAGGCACATTTTCATGTTTTGTAGAAAGTTCTTCAATTGTAACAACATCCTTACTGAAAGAGAGAGCAACTATCATTTGTCAAAACAATTATTCCTTTACACACTGGAACCTAATGATCTTCATAGCCACATGTTATCAAGCATTTTTGAGCAATTATTCATTAACTTTCACTGCCTTATTCATAAGTAACTGGTACCACAACCACAGGTATATCAAGAACATTTTACACAACAAAAGTCTTAAGGTTTTTAGTATAGAATGATATCAAACAACATACCGGTGCAGCACCCTGGTGTGTACATTTTAAGCAGGTGAGGAAGGCATTTTTTAAGGCATGACGTGGCCCAGAAACATGTACCCCGTTAATGACATTGCTTGAGGGATCAAATCCAAGTAATACAGGCAAAATGCGACCATAGAATGCAGGCCTCTTCCTTGCAATTGCTGAAAGACTGGCAAGACATGTCATATAAAATAAAGAATAAGAAACTTGCAGTAAAATGTAAGCAAGCAGACACAAATGGTTACAATTGTACCCAAAAAAAAAATACAAGGAAGCTCCCACCCAATAAATACTATATTTATAATTTACTATTTTTTTACAAAAGAATATTGGACATCACAATCTACTCTCCTTCGAGGATATTTTGTCCTCGAAATTTGCATAACCCTACTGCTGTCACTATTATCTTCACCCTACCTATGATCCTAAAATACAGTCCTCTTGTACATAACAATCAACCACTTAACTCCTTTATAAGTTGACATATACCCAACATATAGGTCATCACGCCACTCAAAGAACAATCCTTTATAAATTTAAACATCATCTCATGGGGTAACTGTGTGATATCAGGAGACATAGTTATCACTTATCAACACCCATGACCTAGGTTCATGCATAGGGTATGTTTAAACTTTTTTGTTAACAAACCCTCGTGAAAAAGGAGCGGAAATGAAAAGGAAATTCCCTTACAACATGCACTTCCTCCTATTATTGAGAGGCAGTGTTTGTAAAGTGAGAACAATTTTTACACCTTCTACTTTTTTTATGGACCCCACTTAGTGGGATAAGGCTTTGTTGTTGTTGTTACTTTTTTCATGGAGAACACCTTCTTTTGAGCTCCAGAGATGGTTTACAAATATTAAATCTTCAAAACTAGTTTTAAATTACAGAGAGTCATCTAAACCTTATCAGCATTTAAATTTAGGATACAAGGACTCTATGGAGTAACATGTAACATCAAAATTGCTAGAAAATTGAATATGACCCAAGAAAGCCAAGATACCTGTTAATAAGCACAACGATCACTAAGTTACCAAGCGATTTCACAGTTGGGAACCTAAGTTGATCAAGCAATAAACCCAAACTTTTACTAGCCTCAATTGACAAATCTCCAACATTGAGCAGAGGATGCCCACCACGAAGCCAAGATACATTAAATTCCACTAAGTCCCCTACAAAGCGGACAAGCATTCTTGATAAGCAAAAAACAAACCATTTCAGTTCTGAACCTGAAGAACAGAGACAAATTTTATTACCTTCAAGAGCAGGGGGGCCTGGGGAGCCATTAGGATCAGGAGTATAAAGAAGAATGACTGACTCAACAAATTTCAGTGCTCGCAACCTTACTCCCCCACTTCCCGGCTGGTAAGCATGATACAGTGAATTAGACATCAATGAAAATCCGATCACATGTTATTGTTAAAAGAATCATTTCTTACCCGAAAAGCTATAGAATATATTTCATCCTTCAGCTTTAACACACATGCCCAAGCTGACTCGAGCGAACTGTCCAATTCACTAGCATGTAGACCCTGAAAGGTTAACCAGTAATAAGGGTGTCGATTACTACAAACTCAACTTGGATTTACATAGTCAATACTTAACCATAAAATGTAACATGAATTCCCACAGTAGCATCAAAAACACCGTTGGTAAGCATTACACAACGTTCAAGTTCAACCAATAGAATTACCTGAATCGAAACCTTTTCGAGAACGCAACGAAATAAATTACTCCCGCTAGTGATCGCCTGTCGAGCAACTGCCGGGGTTTCATCACTCAAAACATCAATTAACGAGGGTACAATGTCTGGCAACAGTTCTACGTGCATCAATCCAATTTCGCCAAGCATTCTACATTTCGAAAACAAAAGGGAAATTTCTCAATTAATCACGCTACAATAAACTCAAAAATAAAAATTAAACTAGTACAAACTAGGGTTTGACAAAAACGCACTCAGTGGCAAATTTTCGGACCGGGCTGAACCGGTCGGACTGAAGCTCGAAGAAGCGAGGGAGGAGTTCGGAGAGCAAATCAGGGTCCTGTTGCCGGACCAAATCCTGCTTCGATTGGCGCAAGCGGTCGAGCTTCGAGGGAATATCGGCGGCGAAGATGGCGGAGTCCATGAGACCCGCGAGCCTTTCGTGGGAATTGGCGGTCATCATCATCCCCACCATTGCAGAAACGAAAACCCTAATTATTTTTTTTCTCACAGTCGAGACGGTGAGATGGTGGGATTAATATCTGGTCCGCGCATAGAGAGAGGAAAAAGGGTGGGAAGTATGAAGCGGAGAGTACAAATTCGCGGCTCGTGACCGCGGACGGGCAGAGGAGTATGTCGAGTTTCACTTTTAATTTAACTCCCTGAAACTTTCGCACGTATCTTACTCTGTTTTTTACCATCAAAGTTCGTTAAAAAATCCCATTTAAATTTTTTTTCGAGCTATAAATAAAACATATTGTTTGAGACATGTTAATAGCTTTATACGGATTTTGAATGGCTTTGTACGCATTTTGATTGCAGAGATGAAAGTGAGATGCAAGTTGAGTTTTTTTAAATTGTTGAATTTTAAGAAATAAACAAGACTCGAGTTGAATTTCAAGAGGTTAAAAGGTAATTAAGCCAATAGGAAAATGAAGCTAAAAATTAACATATTTTTTTGTTAAGGTCAAGCATTGTATTTAATTTATATATTTGCAAACGTGAATTAGGTTAGGTTTATGTGCTGTATTTTGTATCTAAGTTAGAATTCTCCTTCTCGCAACTTATGTTCTTTAGGGTATATCTTTTTTATATATACGGATTTTACTAGGATCAACCACTTACATGCCTTGCACAACAATCTTCCACACTTGCATCCACATTTCCTTTTAAGGGAGGAAAATGATTTGTCACTTTATCTTTTGTTTCTTGTTCTATAACATAAAATTATAATAAGAAAAACATTTCAAACGTAGTATTTTATAAATTACTTCTTACTTTGCATTCGTTTGTCTTTTCCCCTTTCTCCAATTGAATTCTTGAAGTCCAAAACCAACTAGTGAAGAATTCTCATAACTAAAATTCTGATTTTCAAGATTAAATTTTCGAGAGATTTTTTAATGTGACAATTAAATCAACACATGAAATTATCCATCTAATTAGTAACACCACGGACCACGGCTATTAAAACTTCTCAGAACTCGAACTTCAAATTATCCACCTAATTAGCAACACCACGGCTGTTGAAACTTCGTAGAACTAGGACTGGGCCGTTGACCCAAACTCCAAACTCAAACTGGGGCCGATGATCCAAACTCAAACCCGAACCTTATCCTGCATAGAATTGGGAGTCAAACACTCCAGCCCAATTCACCACTTGGGGAAGAAAATCACACCTAATATTAACGGTTCCATTAAAAGTGCTTTTTTAAAACGTTTTTGATAAAAATATTTTTGAAACAAATTTTTAGTAAAATATCATCTAATTAAGAGTTCGTTTGAATGTGCTTAAAATGACTCTCAGCGTTTTTGATGAAAATATTTTTATAACTAATCTTTAATAAAAATGCAAGTAAATTCTGAAAAAATGCTTAAAGTGCTTCTTGGAGCACATAATTGGTGCTTCTTGCAAAAAGCACTTTAAATGCTTTGGAATCTAACGACATTTTCTCTAAAAACATTTTCAGTAATTTGCACATCCAAACGAGCTCTAAATTCTTAAAAAGCACTTAAAGTGTTTTCTCTTAAAAACACATATCTGATGCATCATCCGACAATCACTTAAATTGCTTTTAAAACACAAAATCAAATGTCCAAAAAATTCTTTGTTATTTTGAAAGCTATTCCAAACAATGCATGCAGTGCTGCAGGAAAAAGAAAAAGAAAAAAAAATCAGCCAAAGGCAGAAAACACAATTTAATCCATTATTAAGCAAACAAAATCAATACTACATCCAACAGCAAAAAAAAAAACAAATCCAACCCAACCCAACCCAACCCGCCACATAATCTTAAATTTTTTATATGTAAAAAAACCACTAAAACCATCCAAACAGTTCCTTAACTCCATCACTCAGACCGACTCGCAAACCTCTCCACGTTCGCATCCTTCAAGTTCAACCCCACCATCGCCTCCCCCAACCCGCAGCTCACCTCCACCAACACATCGGGGTCCCGGTAGTGCGTCACCGCCTGCACAATCGCTCTCGCCCGCTTCGCCGGGTCACCGCTCTTGAACACGCCCGATCCGACGAACACCCCGTCGCACCCCAGCTGCATCATCAGAGCCGCGTCAGCCGGCGTCGCCACTCCTCCCGCGGCGAAGTGCACCACCGGAAGCCTCCCGAGCTGCTTCGTCTGCATCACCAGATCGTACGGCGCCGCGATCTTTTTTGCGAAGGTGAACACCTCGTCATCGTCCATGTTCCGCAAAACCCTAATGTCCCCCATCACGGACCGCACGTGCCGCACCGCCTCGATGATGTTTCCCGTTCCGGCCTCGCCTTTCGTCCGGATCATCGCCGCGCCCTCCCGGACACGGCGGAGGGCCTCGCCGAGGTTCCGGCAGCCGCAGACGAAGGGCACCCGGAAATTATGCTTGTTGATGTGGTGCTCCTCGTCGGCGAGGGTCAGAACCTCGCTCTCGTCGACGTAATCGACGCCGATGGCTTCGAGGATTTGGGCCTCGACGAAGTGCCCGATTCGGGCCTTGGCCATGACGGGGATTGTCACGGCCTGCTTGATTTCTTTAATGAGTTGCGGGTCGGACATCCGGGCGACGCCGCCTTGGGCGCGGATGTCCGCGGGAACACGCTCCAGGGCCATGACGGCACATGCGCCGGCCTCCTCCGCGACCCGGGCCTGGTCGGCGTTGACGACGTCCATAATCACACCGCCGCGGAGCATTTGGGCGAGACCCACTTTGACGGAGAACGGCGACTGCTTACTCTCGGCGATTGCGCCATTTCCGTACACCGCGACTACTCCTGAACCCGCCATTTCTAGAGAGAGAAAAATGAAGGTTCTAGAGAGAGAGGGAGTGAGGAAATGGGGTGGCGACTGGCGAGGGTTTTGGGTGGGGAAAGGATTGGGGGGGGGGGGTTTATATAGGGTAGCGTTTGAATGGTTCTGAGAAAAAGGAGGTGGGTACCACGCCAGGTGGAGTCGCGTGGGTTGATACAGTCGGTTGGGGAGTGTGAATAATGATGACCGTTGGATTTCGTTTTTGATTCGGAGTCCTTTGTCGATGGTGTGAAGTATGTTGATCGGACGGTTGACAGGGGAGGGAGGGAGAATGGGCCGCGTGGAGAAGCCCACTTGGGAGTTCGTTAGAGTAGAGGCCACGCAATTTAATGTGCCGAATCGATTTGCCACGTGGGAAGTAGGATTCCAGTCATTGGTGATAAAAATGTAAAGACCGACTGCGCAGCCTCAAATCTTAGGATTTGTTTATTTTTCGATTATTTAGTTCTATTTCCTGGAGAATTTTGTGTACACGTACATTTTATTATTATAAGGAAACCAGTTATTAATTTTACCATGGCAATCCATTTTTCAGAGATAGGGGGAACTTGTAAAGTTATGATTCTCGATTTTTCCTGCTTAAATTAATACATTCGTAATCAAAAAGATATGTAGCTCTCACTTATAATTTCAAGACTTGAAAAACAACGCTTTAGATCTGTTAAGGAGGTGATTTCATTTCTACTCATCATCTCTCTTATTACTAATTCTCTTATTTATAACTTCGTTCGTTTCAAATAAGTACATGCGATATAAGAATTCAAAACAGAAAGAACAAAAAGTGCAATTTTCTTTCTCAACCTCATTCTACCATACATGATACAACCCCACTTGTCTTAAACAAGTCCAAAAAGGTGATGAAAATGGCACTAGACAATGCGATTGATCATTTTCTACCCTCACACACACTACTTAGGCCCCGTTTGGGATTGAGGTGATTTTAAAAAAAGTCACTGTGAAAAAAAGCTGAGGGTCATTTTTGTGTTTGGTAAACTGAAAAAAAATGGCTTATTTTGGAAGCTGCTGTGAGAATAAGCTGAAAATCAAAGGAAAAGCTGAAGCTGCTATTTGCTCTTTGAAAGCCAGTTTTTTAAAGCACATGGAGCTACAGTACTCCTTTAATGAAAAACACACTATCATCCTGCTTTTTTTTTCCAAAAGCACTTCACAAAAAAGTTTACCAAACACTCTACTGGCTTTATTTCACAGCCGCTTATTCTCACAGCAGCTTTTTTTCAAAGCACAGCAATACCAAACCAGCCCTTAATGTTTAAGTAGGTAAAAGAAGAAGGCGTCTTCAACTTGGCCTCCTAAAAATTCTCGTATAAAATGTTATCTTTTTCTGTTGGGATTTTTGGGAGGGGCATTTTTGGAGGACTACGTTTATTGGACAGTCTCATTCGCCAGGACAGAGAGACAAAAGACAAAAGCAAATCTTTGTCCCACTTTAAGCCCCTTTGCCTTCACGATTTCATCACTGCAAAGTGTCTTAAACCCATGTATAAAATAACGATGATATTAGAAATATCAGTAGTTCAAAAATATGGAAATTTCGATTAAAATATCGGGATATTATCGATATCGTTAAAAATTGAAAAAAAACCATGGAAATTGTAAGAAAAACTTGAAAATTTTTATTGAAACTTTAGATAATGTTTATTTAGTCAATTATCTATTAGTTTATCAAAAAAAAATTAGAAGAAAATGCATTACATGATGGATTTAACTGATTTAAGTTGATCATACAGCGAGTTGGTAAACACTGTGAGTGTAGAAAATATGTAGTAATTAATGAAAAAAAGATTAAACACACCATAATCATTTATATATATAATGATTTACTACAATATTTTACACTTTATACATTGTATGGTAAGATACATGAGTGATTTAGTACCACATAAAGTTCCTATGAGGTTCAAAATTTTCCCTATCTTCATCATCTCTATGTGTAGAGTAAGTTTATTATGAAGAGTGTTCATCAAATGATAAATCCCCAAAATAGTTTTGCATGTAATTGTTAACATGCCACTCATATAAGTATAAATATTTTAGCATATTATCACTAAAACAAAAGTGATATATGGTGGTTACGGTGTTAGAAGAGTAAAAAGGGAGGGGTTCAAATCCCCTTTGTTTTTTTTTCCTCCCTTTTTTTTCTTTTTTTTCATTTTTTTCCTTCTTTTACATCGATATTTTTGATATTTTAGCGATATTACACCGATAAAAAAAAATTTCTTCTTTTTCTTTTTTTTTCCCTTCTTTTACATCGATATTTTCGATATTTTAGCGATATTACACCGATAAAAAAAAAAGTCGTACCTAGTGCACAAGGCTTCCGCTTTACGCAGGGTCCGGGAGAGGTGAATGTCGGCTAGCCTTATCCCCATTTATGGAGAGACTGCTCCCAAGTCTCGAACTCGAGACCTGCCACTCATGGGCGAAGGCACTTGCCATCGCACCAAGTGCGACCTCCTTAGCGATATTACACCGATATTTTGACAAAATATTTTTGAAGTGCGAGCGAAATTATCGACATCGATATTTTTCGATATTATCGTCGATATTGTCGATATTTATACAATATGTACATAGATATGTTCCGAAATATCCGTGATTCGAAAAAACCGAAATATCCTCGATATTTCGTCGATATTATCGATATTTCACACTATGCTTAAACCTATTCCATTATTTTATCTTTACATATTTCTAACTAGTTTACCAATTAGCAATTTGACAATCTAGTGTTTGGTAGACTTGGAGGGATTACCTTTCCTCCCAATCCACGAGAGATTTTTTAGTGTGCTAGAACACAGTTAGATATATCAAGTGTCGTAATACAATTAGTTGAAAACTTAAAAAAAAGAATCAACCAAATGAATTATGACACTTGATTTACCGAGCCCTATTCACGGAACACTGAAAATTTTCTCACAATCGACCCTAGGGCACATATAATGAGAAGGAAAGTAAGGTGCTCACGTTGCTAGAGGTTTTGTTTGAGAAGGCTACTCCAGTTCTAATTTATGAGAGAGGATCAAGGTCGGATCATACAAAACACGAGCACATTAATCTAACCAACTGTCCAAGCCCTATATATATACAATGGGAGATCAAACTCAGGTACAAAGAGACATGCAACATTGTTCGGATCAACTGTGCTGACTGACCCTACGTAGTCCACATTCTCCATTGTTTTGACAACTAGCTAGGAAGGAACAATATTGGTGAGATTCATTAATTACCAACAAAAAAAAGAAGAAAATATTGGTAAGATTCATGAAACCGGTTTTACAACCAGTTCTTTTTCTTCAATTAAGTCCTCGTGACTAATTGAGCTCAATCACACAAATATGATGCATGAATTTGCAAAGCATTCTGAAAAGGGAGTTGAACAAACAATATGCATCAACAACATTAATATCATTGAAGATTGCAACAGAAAATCGAGTAACTTAACCCAACCTACAACGTGGGGAAAGAAAAGAATCGAGACCTTTGAATTCTTTATCCTATTTAGGTGTATTGAGGCTTTCTACACCCGGAAACAATAATACATAAGGGAAAGCCGTTGTAAAGCGACAAGGCACGGCCAATCCACACTTAGAAACTACCTAGGTAACCAGCTGAGCTCTGATCAGTTATATTGACGGGTAGTAAAGAATGGCGCATACCAGCATTACAAGGAGGTTTGTATTACTTAAACTGTAAAGATCTTCCTCACCTTCTTTATGTTCCTCCGACAAATTGGACAAGTAGCAGCTGCCTCTGCTATCCTGTGAAAATTTGAAAAATGTAATCAATCATTAAATTGGATCTGGAACAGATAAACAGGACAAATATGATGCATGGAACACAGTTTACTAGTATTCTAGAAGCTCATTGGATGAGCCTCGTAAGAAATCAGAACTTTTGATGTCCTAATGGGCAACTGGCCTTGTCAACTGTCATAACTAGTATGTGGACTTGTTGCAGGGTACAGCGTAGAGGAACTTCGCAGTTAGAAATGGTAGAGAAAAATACCTTGTTGCACACTCAAAACAAGCCACACAATGCCCGCAGGGAAGGAAAAAGCAGTCCCTAGGAGCATCAAAGCAGATTGCGCAAAGACGACGAGTATTATTACTTTCACCATCTCTTGACATCTTCCCTTCTCCTGCCAGTAAGTCTTCAAGATCCCCCTCATCGTTTGAGGCAGAATCATAAGATGAGCCCCAACTTGATTGATCATCATCTTTGTAGGAAAGCAATGGGGCTCTCTCAGATCTGAACTCATCATGTCGTACTCTTATTCCATCTTCATTGCACTTGTTTAAGAAGTTGAAGGCCAAGAACATGAGCACAGTCATCCCACCTACACAGGCTAAACAAATTAAATACGGTAGAGATTGAGAGACAAAGGTTCCATTATGCGAAGAAATAAGAGAATGAGCCTACCTATACCAACAATATATGTGGCCCATCTTGGTCCATATGATAGTTTGACATACTGGTTTGCAGAAGGTGTATCCTGAGGAAACCAAAAAAATGTAAGACGAAAGAGTAACAATCTACTGAATTCAAGTTTCCGGGGTAACATTTATTTGACAATCCACTAGATTAGTCTTACCTGCTCTGGACCAGGAGTGGTCAACACAGCTTCATTTCCCTCCGGAAACAAAATTTTCAAAGTACAGGATTCATCCGTGAAAGTACATTTGTAATAAGCCGAATTTGTATTGTACAATAAAGCATTCACTGTGATGTTTAATTGTACCTGTTCAATGTAAAGATGAACCCAAGTGAATAGTGTAATGAGTAAAAATTAACGTCAGAACAGCAACAATATTCCTTTTTTTTTTTGGCCGAAGCCTGAGATGTCCCACACTCCGTGGGGTAGGACTAATCGCCAGTGGGGCTCAGAAAGGCTAAAGGCATTTCGGCCCACCCCTGGCCACAGTCAAATGGCACACATCCTCCCAAAAATTTCAACCAAGGCATCCATGTTTTTGCCAGCTTCATGCCTCGAACCCAAGACCAGGGAGCAAACCTGACTTGGAATTCTACTGCATTTCCACTGGACC